CCATATAGCCCCCCCCCATATGCCCCTATAGATCCCCCTGTGGGCCCCTACAAACATCTGTGTCCACCTGTAAACCCTCCATAAAGACCCCTGTATGGCTCATATTGCCCCTAGGGCCTCTCTATGGCCCCTTATAGACCCCCATATAGCCCCTATAGGTGCCTGTATGTCCCTGCAGGCCTCCTCCATGGGCCCTTTAGACACCTGGATGCCCCTAGAGGCCTCCCTATGGCCCATATAGCTCCCCTGTAGTCCCAATAGACCCCCCCTGTGGCTGCTTTAGGCCCCTGGTGGCACCTATAGTCCCCTCCTTTGCCCCTATAGAGTCCATTATGGACCCTATAGGCCTCCCTATAGACGCCATTATGACCCCTACAGATCCCCCACGGCTCCTATAGCACCACTATGGCCCCTACAGACCCCAATATGCTCCCTATAGCCCTGCCATGCCCCTCTTTGACCCCCTTATGTCCTCTTTAGGTCCCTCTATGGCCCTTCTTGGCCCCCCAGTTGCCCTCTATGACCCCTATAGACCCCATCAACTGCACTCTGGCCCCATAGGCCCCCTCTAGTTGCCCCCTATAGGTGCTCCCTGGCTCCTATAGGCCTCCTGTGGCTGCTGTAGCACCTCTATGGCCCCTATAGACTCCATTATGGCTCCCTACAGCCCCCATTAACTGCACTCGGGCCCCATCGGCCTCCTCCAGTCACCCCCTATGGCCTCCTATAGGTCCCCCATGGCCCCTATAGATCACATTATGGCCCCGATATACCCTCTATGGCCCCTATAGACCCCCTTATGGCCCCCTATATCCACCATCAACCCCACTCTGACCTCATCAGCCCCCTCTAGCCACCCCCTATGGCCCCCTATAGGTAACCCCGGCCCCTATAGCATGCCTGGTGGTGGTGGGGCGTCCCATAGCGCCCGTTGAGGTTGGCGTAGTGGCAGTTGTGGTACCACCAGGCCCCCGTGTAGGCGACAGCACAGGGACGGGGGCGGCCCCGGGGGTCCCGGTCCCGCGTGGAGAAAGGGCTGCCGGCATGGTAGGAGAGCGCGTCCCCTGCGGGACCCTCCCGTCAG